TGATGCTATGGTGGGGTTTTTCTTGTTACAATTACTTGGCCTTGACATCCTCCCAGTCCTTGCTGGTTGAGGGGGACTGTGCTAGGGGACCCCTGGACACCCTGGGCCTGGCCTCTCTCAGGAGGTCGCGTGCCGAGTGGCTGTGGATGAGGAGAGCATGGAGAGTCCCTAGTGCAGAAGATGTTACCTGTGAAACCTCCCCCATTCAGTCCTTGCTGGTTGAGGGGGACTGTACTAGGGGACCCCTGGACAGCCTGGGCCTGGCCTCTCTCAGGAGGCCACGTGCCAAGTGGCTGTGCATGAGGAGAGCACGGAGAGTCCCTAGTGCAGAGGATGTTACCTGCGAAACCTCCCCCATTTCCAATAACTAGTGATCTTGTTTTCCTCCGCAGTCTGCAGTTCAAGGAGCTGGCTCTTACCTCCTCATGGCTCTTCTTGAGGTTGATAATATCCTCCTTTAGAGACTCAAATTGCATTTCCATGTCAGACCTGCTCAGGGTCAGACTATCCAGAAAGGGTCGCAAGCTATTAATGTCGGCCTCCACGTTCTGCCGGAGACCACATTCCATCTCGTACCTGTGCCAAGGACAGTGCAGAAGGGTCAGCCCTGGGCTGGGTTCTCAGTCCTTCTCCTACTGACTTTATGGAAAAGTTCACGTACTCCAGGATCTCAGTGTCTGCAGTTTGTCACAGAATGATGAAATCAGCAGCCACTGCTTCAAGTTTAATATTAAATTTTCATATTAAAATGTATTCTGTGGTGTCTCTTGCTGTCTCTTCTTACCACCGATTTTGTGGAGGTTTCATCTGTTTCATCTGACTTGCAGTGAGAGAAAATCACAATTTTTTTTTAAATAAAGCTTTTCTTAAAGCCCTGACTCCACAGCCATAGGCAGAATTCCCCTCACAGTTCATTATAGAAATAAGGAAGAATTTTTAAGTCTTACAAAGTATTTCAGTGGTGCTGCCATGGAACCAGGAGGAGCCCTAGCCTCTGTGGATTGCTATTTGTTTATGGAATGAATTTGTGGAGCTATGTTGAGGAAAGTAGGAGAAGAGAAGTCAGTCAGTGTTTGGAAAAGAGAAAGATAGACTTACTTTATCCTGAAGTCTTCTGCAGTCATCCTTGTGTTATCCAGGTTCAGAACTGTCTTGCTGGTTTCCACAGCCGCAGCCACGATCTAGAAGAGAAGACAATACGCTGAGGAAAATTTTCTCTGCAACTTTCAGGTTTGCCCTTGTGCAAAACAAAGAGTTACCTGTGTGAAAATCACATCAGAACCGCACAAACTGTTTTGTGAGTACAGGAGTCCTGCCAAGAGGCTCGGTGTCACCACCATAGCTCTATCTCACTTCCTGTGCCCGCGGGCCAAGGGCCATACTCAGACGTCGGACGCTGCACATCCCAGAGCGTAGTTGTCACCATTTCTCCTACGCTCTAAAATCCATTACAGCTCTTCTGAGAGTCTGGGTGGTGGGCTCTAGGCGGTGTGCATTGTTTCTCCACCTCTAGCTGGAGGTCGTTGGATGCATGCACAGGAGGCAGGATTTCAAGGACAAGAGGCGCACTCAGAGGAGCTTGGGGAGTTTAGAAGTATCCGTGCCTCAAACATTTTGCTCAATCACTAAAAGTCTTGCTTTGTCAAGCTAACCTAAGTCAATGCTTAAATGCCTCTGGCAAAGAGCATCCTACCTGATTTTGAAGGTCTTCAATTTCCTTATTATAGTGGCTGTAGTCCTTTGTACCAGCCGGGCCTTGCTTCTGGTACCACTCCCTGATCAATTGTTCAAGATGAGCATTTTCCATTTCCAAATTTCTGACCGTATCCATGTACGAAGCCAGGCGTTCATTAAGGCTCTGCATCATCAGCTTCTCATCGTTGGAGAGAATTCCCATATTCCCTCCATGAAAGCCACCCCTGCCGAAGCTGCCGCCACTGAAACCGGCACCACCTCCACTAAAGCTTCCTCCATAACCACCGAACCCGCTCCCACTCAGTCCAAAGCCTGCTCCCATGCCGCCACAGCCCATTCCCCCTCCGTAACCACCACCGCTCATTCCCCCTCCGTAACAGCCACTGCTCATTCCCCCATAGCTACTGCGCCTGATCTTCCCATAGCTGATAGCGCGGGCTCCCCCGCCGTAGCTGCTCCTGGAACTTCCTCCGCCACAACTGCTGCCAGAAATCCTGCCGCCACCACTTCTCCTAGAAATGGTGGTTCTTGAGGAGTCAGAGGAATACGTGCTGCCCCCTCCACCCCCACCACTGCCAGCCCTGCCAGTGCTGCCCCCTCGCAGGCAGCTTTTGGAGGTCTGCTTGGAGCCACAGCTCATCGTGGCAGCAGCGAACGGTTCAGGTTAAAGCTCAAAGCTGGTCTTACAGTCGTTGTGGAATCATAGCTCCGAATTCCACCCTGCCTGGTCTGCATTTATACCTGAGATAGTGGGTGTCACCGTCAGAGGGAGTAACTTCTTTCCATGTGCATTTGCAAGCCGTCGTTTTCATGCCAAGAATAATTTGCCAAAGGGAGATGGTTGACAGTGGCAGGAAGCCTAACCCCTACTCAGGGTGTTTGTGATCGTTTGTTTATTAAGACAAAACATGTAATTTCTATTGGGTGGCTCTGAACCAGGTGGATCTTTTCTGTGACCTAGTCTACTGCCGCAGAGTCATCTGAAGTAAACTCGGCCCACTCAGCTCATCCTGTTCACATCTCTTTCAGCACAACAATAAACTGTCAGAACGTGGGACAGCAATGAACGTTACTACCTCTCTTCCAGGGCAGCCATTCCTCTTTCCCCTTTCAGATACTTGTCAAGGAGTCCCAGCTCCTTTTTTTATACTTAAGTGATATTTTAATAGGATCTGGTTTATGGTTACCTCATGTGTATGTTCCTTATTTTTAGTCCTTTATTGAATTATGACTTTTGAAAACGTAACGCAGGATGTAGTTTGTAGCTACCCTGAACCACCCTGACACCTTTGCAATTTCTCATAAAAACTAAGTGAACATTGGCCAATATCGTACGTGTCAGACGTTTATTCCAAACATACATCTACAATTATGGTCTATAAATAACAACTTAATTATTATTTAATTTAATAATGGTTTAATAATTATCACAACAACTGGAAAACAGCTCTGTGTAAGACTGTAAGGAAAGGAAGCGGGACAGGTTGTTGCAGGGAATTCACTTCATGTGCTCAGCCCAGAAGTGGTCGAGAGGCCTGGGAAAGCACCCTGGCTCTGGGCTAGTCTCCCTTGAGGTGGCTGTGAACACAAGAGGGACCGTTCTCACTCCTGAAGGGGTTTCAGCATTCCAGTCCGGATGTTTTCCTTCCGCAGTGCAAATACAAACATACTCACTTAGAAGAGAAGGGTTAAGTCCCTGGTTTGGGGATCAAGTCAATAATCTGTTCATCAGAAGTGCATTTTCCACTTGGTTTTGTTTTCCATGCAGGCACAGCATGACCGGGAGGAGGAAATACCTGCTTTTTCTTTTAAGATTGTATCTGTTTCAAATAGGTGGCAGTGGAAGGTTGAGCTGACCATGTGTCTTCTGGGCTCCTATGGCAACCTGAGCCTCAAACACCTGAAATTCCCTTCCTGGCTGCCTGTCGTGCCCGTCCTCCTTCCCAGGGACATGATCGTCAGCAAAATGCAACCTGCTAGCTGTCGTTCTTTGTAGGTCGAGATAATTGTGTGATAGCCAACTTACTGCATTGATGTGCTGCATTATTCTGCTCTCAGTCAGCCTTTGTGCTGGTGGTTGTTGCTAATTTAAAGGTTTGTTTGTCATGGCTTATAGCAAGTGTTTGTGGAAACCTATTTTTATAAATGCCCCTCCCAGCACACCCTCGCCCACAGGGCAGAACACGCGGAGGTCTCATGCTCTGCTAGACTTCATTTCTGAAACATCTGGGGAAGCAAGGCCTCCTCTGGCTCGTAGATATTTAAATGGTTCAGTGTGAAACTTTGTGGAGCCTCAGTCCCAATTTCAGCTTGTTCCAGTGAGAAATCCTTTTCTCTTGAAGTGCACTGTCTCTATACCAACAGCTACTTTGGCTTTTGAAACTACTGGGCTGTGTTCTGTTTAAGTGTTGGCTTCCAGCTGCTGACAGCCACACTCTAGGACCCTGGTTATGTTTCCGTGTTGCTCTGTATAATTCTGCAGAGGGTGAAGGTTTGGGGGTTTCTGGGAAGAGGTTTATTACATATTTTGTACGAGTCGTTCCTTTCTGGTGGACTAAGCCTCAGGTCTTCCCTTCACAAACAGAACATGTTTGGATACTTTGTGCACCAGTGAGGATGCTTGTGTGCCAAATACATAACAGCTTCATGGGTAATACACAAAAGGAAGATTTAATGCCATTTTCCCTAGAATTCATGTGGCTACATACTTCAAGAGTAAAGATTAGCTCCTTAAACCTGAGGAAGCCGGATGGGAGTGTCTGGAAATGACTGGCCAGGATCAGGGATTGTGGAACAAATGGTTCCTGAAAGGAATGGTTTATGTGAAAGTTTGCTGTAAGATGGAATCTGTTTTATAAACATCTCAGTTATGTCTCATAGGCTTGTCCAAGCTTGGAATGCTGAGCTAACTAGGGGATCTTAGATAGTGTTTCCAGCAAAACCCAGAGATAAGGGCTGTAGAAGAGAACCTGGAGGGCTGGGAAAACCTCAGCAGAAGAGAGATTTCCATAAACTGCAGAAACTGCAAGGAACCCCAGTAGCACCTGTGAAATGGGACAGTGAAACATTATGAAATCTCAGGCTGGTGCTGCTTATTGCAGCATCCAGCTGCCGCTCCACAAACACACGAAGGTGCATCCACCTAAAGCCTTTGGTATCACAGCCCGCGGTGCAGGGAGCACGCTATCAAGAGCTGGTGAAGGCTTCCTCCAGCACTGCCGAGACTCGCAGCTGCTTGGCCTCGCTCCCTGATGCCATGCTCATAACCAGCTCAGCCTCTCAATTCTCTTTCCTTTACTTGCCCGCCTCGCTGGGCTTCCCAGTGCTGGAAACGGGCACTGACATATCTTCTGACCACACTGAGGGCAGTTCTCAGACATGGGCAGGTGAAGAAAGCTGAGAAAACAGGATCCTGCAACACCCAGGGCCTGAGAGCAGCTATGGCTGTGCCTGGGGAGAGGCTGAGCCCTGGGAGAAGGCAGGAGCCTTCATTTGGCACCAGTGAATGTCTCTTACAGACTGCGTTGTGCATCCTCGACCCCCCTGCTCGCAGGTATTCAGGTAGAGGTTTGGGTGTGCTGGGTGTGCGTATTCAAGTGCTCCTTTGATTCTTTTCTGCTTAAGAGACCTCTGAAAGCTGCTCCAGAGAAGCCCTGATCATCCGTGCCTCTCACACTGGGCACAGCTAACGGCAAGAGTGTACAATCACTGCGTACCCCGAGAGCTGAAGGTTTCATGGCACTCCTTGCACACTGCTGACATGCCACAATAGGAGGGGGTGGAGGAGGAGGAGGAGGAGGAAGATGCCTTGGGGGGATGACACCACAGTTGTTTGCAGTGAGGTCTCTTCCCTTTTCCTGTGATGAAACTGTTACGAGCTCCTGCCCAGAGGAGGATGGTGGACTATTTAAGCCTGAAAGGCTCACCCAGTGTGGGCAGGAATTCACCCACAGCACTGGAACAGCGGAGCTGTTGTGCTCCGTGGTAACACAGAGGTGTGTGGGCTGAGAGCAGAGGCTGGAAGAGAATGAAATCTTCTTCCTTGGGGGTGTGTGTGGCATCAGTGAGGGGTGAGGCTGAAATGGGCTCCATGGCGGGCGGCAGTGATGGCACGGTGATGGGTGCGTGGGCCGAGCACATACAAGCTCCTGTCATCTCCCGTGGCATCTCTGAGCTCTGCATTTACCACATTTACAGCCTCCTTTGGACTGATGTGTTTGGGAGAAACTGCTGAGGCTCCAAGCACATCTGCAGGGGTACGACTGGGCTGTTACCCATCCTCCTCTGTGCTTCGGTGATGATGAACCCTCTTCCATCCTTCCTACCTCTCAGCTCTCACCAGGAGAAGTCAATTTGCTTATGTTGCTGCACAAAGGGAAAACTGTGGAAGATCCATCTGGGGAATATGACTCATTCTCATAATTATAAACCATCGTTCTCATACATTATAAACTAACTTCCATTAGATAGTCATCGATCAACTTTATTAACACCAGATAATGCCACAGAACAATATCCATAGTAAACAAGTAAATAAGAAGCCCCATCCCTGAGGTGTGGCTGTGTTGGAGGGAGAACACTCGTCTTGTCTGGGGATGTACACTGCTCTTCCTTCCACTGAGGTTCAGCTCCCTAACAGCATGAAACCCTTCTCCTTCCCACCACCATTTAAGTGACATGGTATTTTTCTTATCCAATAAAAAGCTAGGTGCTTGAAAACTGAAAAATCGGAGAATATTTGATTCAGAATAGTAGAAACATATCAGGGCTCAACCATGTTTATTATTTTAACAGTGCATTAACTGGTGCCTGGCAGCAGCAATATTTGGGGTTGAAAATGTCGACAATACCAACTGCTTCCAGTGACAAGTTCCGTTTTCTCTAAATGCATTTTTCCATTAGATATAGTTGTGTCCATCAGCTCTGCCCCATTCTTCTTCCCGTGGGACACTCGGCCAGTGGTTTGTTCCCACGGCCATCTGTACGAGTCTCATGGACCCCCGCGCCCAGCGGGAACATCTTCCAGCGGTTTCAGTGGTGGGACAGCACCCCGGCACCTTGTTCACTCTGTTTCTTCTCGCCTACATTTATGGCCACACCAGTCAAACAAAGTAATGCGTTTCTAGAGCTCAGTGAAATCCGGTACAACCATTCCTATAGGGTCAGTCTCTGCAGGCGGTTGGTAACTGATGGTTTTTAACTGTCTGCTTCCAAGTGCGAGAGCAAGTCCCCACCTCTCCTGCGCTCTTCTGCAAGACAGGGTGTGAGCCTTGGCATCTGCCCACCCCCCCGGTGCGTGGTCACGGGGTATATCCCTGGAACGTGTCCTCCTTGCTGCCTCTGATGGGCCTAACCCAGCACACTGACCCCGCAGCCTGGGAAACTGGACTGCAGCTCTGGAGGTGACCTGCTGCCCTCCCTGTCAGGGCAGCCAGCAGCATCCAACCCAGCAACGTCTCTCCTGAAGGAAAAAATAATTCTTGCATACATTATACTTGATGTGTTAATTACTCATTATTGCAGAGGAGTAGTGATGAAACATTAAAGGGCACCTTCAAAAGATCCCCCACCCAATGGAACGATGGTGATTATGATAGAACAGTAATTAGGTGAGTCAGAGCTGTAAGAGACTTTCACAGT